TAAAGTTTATTTTATCAAGATCAACATTGTCAAACACTTTGATAAATCTATAATTACTCATGATACTATTAATATGTAATAATTATATAAGTATGAAATAATTTTATGTTTATAGTAAATTAAAGCATCTATAGGAGAAATACATATTTTTAAACCATAATCATTAAGATAGATACAATTTATTTACAAAATTATTGAATCTGGTACAAATAAAGTACTATTTCCATTATTTTTGCAAAGAAAGTGATGATTATTATAGGACAATAATTATTAATATCTGTTTCAGACTTTTTTTCTTAAATATAAGAAGAACAAGATTGTGAGATCTGTTGTCAGGGAAGATTCCTGTTTTGAATGATTTATTAATTATGAAAGAAAGCAGAGTAACAATTATGTTGGAATTATACTTCAGAATTTTTGCATTAGCACAATCTGTCTGGAGTATTGCTGTTGATTTTAAAGATATATATTTCAATAATAGTAGTATTATCTAATATAAATGATAAAGTAAGATAATCAATACACTGTTATTCTGAAACATAGTGATGCCAGATATCTTAATAGTCTTTCTTATTTCTATAGTTATCAGAGAATATGTAGGCAATAGAATTATTTGAGTGTTCAACATTATTATAGAAAAATTTTTTAATGAAAAAGTATCTCATTGATGGATGTTCAAAGGGAGTTTTTTATTACTTTCTTAAAGTCAGAGGATATTTGTTTTCATAATTAGTTTACCATTTAAATAAAATTCATTTAACAATAGATTCAGGTCTCATTTGACTGATGAAAATTTTGAAATTTTCAATTAAAATTTTTCTGAGCAAAGATAGATCTAATTATTACAGAACCAAATATAAAATTATAAACATACATTTTTTAAAAATCTATATTTATTTGAGATGTATAATATCATTTTTGATGAGCTTTTAAAATGGAATTATAAATAAATAGTTATAATTATAGATTTTTAAAATACAGTAATACCTTGACTTACGCTACCCCGACTTACGCGAACCCGGAGTTACGCGATATTCAAATCTCGTCGATTTGTCTTTTGTTTCAGCACCACGCAACTCTTGATTACTCCCCCCCACACTATTGTTTGGCTTACATGTTCGGACATGTCGCGTGGAATCAACATATAGCTACAATTTATTTTGTTATTTATTTCTGTGTTTGTTATATATATGGAGACTCGAGAGACTCTACTATGTCATCCAAACGAAGTAGAACTAATTCTTCTGCATCAAACAAGAAAAGAAAAACTTTATCTTTGGAATGTAAAGTTAACATTGGGTATGTTCGTAAAGTCGAACGAGTTAAACGAGAATGACGTCATCGTTATTCCTATTTCGTTAGACTTTTCGAACGATTCGTTACTAACGCGTTTAACTCGTTTGACTTTACGAACGTACCCATTATTAAAGACTTCGATACAAAAATGAAAATTTGTGAATTGGCAAAGAAGTTTGATCTACCGGAATTGTCGGTCAGAACAATTATAAAAGGCAAAGAAAAAATTCTCGAAGCTGTGAAAAATGCTCAATCTTTAAATTCAAGCATCATTCGTAAACGTCACAGTATTATCGCTGAGATGGAAACAATGTTAAAATTATGGCGTAATAATCAAGTAAATGTGAAAAATTGTAAAATAATATAGGCCTAATTTGTTATACATATGTATTATCTAAGATTTTATTAAACATTTTTTTCTAAATTATTGTTTTCTTTAGTCTCCGGCCCCAATTAAAAATTATTTGTATGTATTTATATGCGAAATTATACCCCGACTTATGCAAATTCGACTTATGCGGTTATCACTCTGTCCCACCTATCACGTAAGTTCGGGGTATTAATGTAGTTTTGTTTGAATGCTAATATCAAATAAATTATGAAAAGTATAAATTGTAATTATAAAATGGTTTCAGTTCATTTCACTTAAAATTAAGTTTATAAAATATTTTAACTTAAGATGTAGTGGTGCAGAGTATAAGCTAGTATGAGACTGTGTTTGATTGGATGTTTTGATCTAGAGCAGATATCCAGACACACTGAATACAAATTTATTAATTTTTCCCATGAAATTTTTTGAAATTTTAAGCTGAATTGCCTTGATTTAGTTATCCTTGTTCTTAATAAAAAATTGCTTGAGCTAACAATTCATTTATATTAATTGCATTTAATATTAATTCTAAGCTTGATATTGATATAATTTCCTATAAAAAATTTTATTATAATAGTATATAAATAGATTTTCTTTAGTTTTGAATGCAATAAGTTAATAGAAGTAAAGAAGAAATATTTGATTGATAGCATCTGATAAAAATTTTATAAATAACCAGTAAAAGGAAATATATTAAGGTGTCAGTTATCCATAACATTTGATGATGTAATTAGATCTAGATAACTGAATTTTTCAGCAAATTAAAATGTATAATAAAATCTCGTTCTTATTAATTATTATATTTGGTTATTATTTAATCAGCAAAAAACCAAACATTGAATTTAGTTTATTATTTTATATTTGTTCTCATCTATTGAAATACAGGATGGTTATAATTAAACAGAGGTGTTTATAGCTCTCTGTAGAAAAACTAATGGATCAAATGCAGTCAAATTTGATTTGCATACTTTCCTGACAATGGGATTTTGATTTCTCAAATAAAAAGTTTAGTTCAAAAATTTTCTGGTAAGACGAAATTTGATACTAATATGCCATTGCAATTTGCATATTTGATAGGTTGTCAAAGAAATTCAGGGAATACAGAGAAGTTGAGATACAAAGTGCATTTATTTTATTGCAATTTAGTGTGGTGATTACATATTCTGTGAGTTGTAACTCACTGTAGGTTACACTGTTACACATTGTAATTTTACATGACAAATTGCACACAAGGAAATGTTTACGTAACTAATAAATCAGACTAATAGTTCTAGTTCATGTGCTCTCCATCTTCCTGTTGTAAAGCATGTATTCAATGAACAATGCATTGGATGCAAAACATAAGTGATTTGAGTGCAATTGTCTCACATGTAGAAAAATTATTTTTTACAATATTTCAGTTAGGAACATTTATTGAAATTGCACTGATAAACAAGGCTCTTCAGATATTCACATAATGAAAAATTAGAAGCCAGATGATCATGATGGTAATGCTGTTGGAAATAATTGGCTAACTAAAGTTTCCCCCACACTGGGTCATATAAGACAAAACAATGTACACTCTATCCAGCATGAAAAATCCAAACATAGGTTGGCAAATGCTTTTGATGCCCTTCCTGGGCTCTTCTTTAGGCCAAATTCGCTGTAACTGGATTCTTATAATTGAATGTTTTTAAATAAGAATGTGCTTTACTTCTTGATGTTCAAATATGGAAGGCAATCATGTGCCGTTTCAAAAAATAATTTTTTACCATTGGGAATATGATGTGTGCATCCTATAAAAGTCACGTGTATCATATAACAAATTACAATTTGTCATCCAATAAATATTTCCAAGCTGTTGAGAGATTCATTTCTTCTTTAAAATTGATGCAGGTTAATTTGTGATCTGCTTTGAATATCTCCATCGCTTCCAAAGTTCTTAGGTGTTCCTGATGACGGGTGGTGTGGATAACTCGTTCCTTGTTAAAAATCGGGATTATGTTCGGGTTTGTTGCATATATAGATAATGCCATCAAACATTTGTTGATATCTGATTTATGTTTCTTTTACTATAGTGGGTAATGGACATTTGGTGGATCCTGTGTAAATCAATTGCCTCTGCCACCTGTCATCTATTAACGGAATGGTATATATTCCTGGAAGCTTGTTCAGGTTATGGGCATCTTTTCCGTTTCTCAATAAATTGTATATGGAAGAGTTTCTTCTGTATGTAATTCTAATTCCTTTTTTCTTTGCAATCTCATTATATATTGTTTTTAGTTGTGGGTTGTAAGTTACTGGGATCTTATCCAAGTGTTCTTTATTAACTCTTCCTAATGCCTTTTCTTCATCTGTCATAGTGTTTATATGAAGGTGTTTACTGCATAATTTGTTTATTATGTTGCCATAACCATGATCATTAGACTTTTCTAATATATGATAATTCTTGTTGTAGATCGTTATTTGTGGAAGAGTGAGTATAGGCCCTTTCTACCAACGTCCTGAATGCTGCTATTTTGTAAGAGTATGGATCACTATTACAAAATAGTGACCCATACTCTTACAAAATTCTTCTCATACAATTATATTTAATATAATTGTAAGCTCATACTTTCCAAAAATGTTAGTCAATGAGACCATAATTCTCTCATAATTATCATAAAGATAAAATGAGTTTTTTGATATTTAAGATAATTTTGTAATAAAATCCAAAATGTTAAAATAGTGACCCATACTCTTACAAAATTCTTCTCATACAATTATATTTAATATAATTGTAAGCTCATACTTTCCAAAAATGTTAGTGAATGAGACCATAATTCTCTCATAATTATCATAAAGATAAAATGAGTTTTTTGATATTTATGATAATTTTGTAATAAAATCCAAAATGTTATCAAAATGTCACATTTTAATAATTCAATTAGTATTTTTAATTTATTTAATTTATTTTTTAAGAGTATTTTGTAAGAGTATGGGTCACTATTACAAAATAGTGACCCATACTCTTACAAAATAGTGACATTGTAAGCAAATTTGTTGGTCATCATAAATACTTCCAGCTTTGCTGAACATACTGTACATTCACTAAATACACTACTTGTGGGCTGCCAAAATACAACAGACCTCAAAGGCAAGATTTAATTTTTTTAGTTTTTATTACGTAATGATTTAAAAACTGAAAGAACAGATATTTCATTGGTTGACATACATCAGAATATTCAGTCGAAAGCTACTATTCATTTCATCTCTAGTTGGTATTTTTATAGTTACTGAATACTTTTAAATTAAAAATTTATATGCTAAATCTTTTACTGAATCTAACAGTAATTTTTATCTTTTAATTTTACAGTACCAGCAGAGGCTTCAGCCTTTTTAGGTATAGTTGGAGCATTTTTAGTGCTGCTTGTGGTATTTTATTTATATTTAAATAAGAAGTTTTGTTTTACCACAATTGGTGGTTTTCCATGTTGTGACAAGCCTCTTTCTAACCAAAGAGAACCAGCAACTAAAGATTTAGGTAAGTTAATTTTGAAGTATCTATTGAGAAAAATATTTTTTATGAGGTGGCATTTTATAGGAACAATCAAATTTTATATTGAATTATTCTATTTATTTAAATATAAGATGACATCAAATCTAAGACACACTTTAATTTCTACATGCTCATCCATGGATTTTTTTTATAAAAATAAATAACATGAGACACATTTATTCAAACAGAACTGATTCTATTAGTATAAATTTGTTCAGTATTTATTTATTTTACAGTAAAGTATGTTATCTATCACTGTGTTCTGTAATTTCTGTATAGAAGTTTCTGTAAAGTCAGAAACTTCTTCACTTTCCATGTTAGCTTCTTCTGAATTAAAACTGGATTCAATGCTTACATCTTCCCACATACAACTATCCTCAGTATCATTTGAAGCATCAGAAATGCAATGTTTCCTGAAAGAGTGTAGATCAACTTTTTCTGGGATTTTCATCAAAGTACTTACAATATTATTATAATAGATAACAAGATTGATCTCTTCTGCTCTTAAATATTGATATGATTGATATGAGTAATGATCGTAAATATTATGAATATTGTCTAATAGACAATATAATATTTACGATCATTACACGAACACAGTGGAATCAGTGACAGAAATAAGATGCTTGGAACTAGGGATTGCTAATTTTGATATATTACATAAAAATCTACGATGTATCCTGTTTTTAGATATACTAAAATATGTAAAAAGTATGTCTTACATTCAAGTGAATATGATAATTAATAACAATTAACAACAATGTGAAATTAGGAACTTTTGGATTTTATATTTTAATTCAGTTTAATTAATAATTAGTTAATCGGCTTAAATTATTGTAAGCAAAAACTAAAATCTCTTCTATGAAATTTTAAAGAAAAATTATGAAAACTGTTAGAAGTGGAATTGATTTAATTAGTGATATGTTGTATTTATTATATTTGTATGCCACTATGCTGATATTTTTATTATATTTTATATATTGTGATTCTGTACATATATTTAATATAATTGTAAGCTCATACTTTCCAAAAATGTTAGTCAATGAGACCATAATTCTCTCATAATTATCATAAAGATAAAATGAGTTTTTTGATATTTAAGATAATTTTGTAATAAAATCCAAAATGTTATCAAAATGTCACATTTTAATAATTCAATTAATATTTTTAATTTATTTAATTTATTTTTTAAAATTTTTAAAATTTATCTTAATTAAAAGACAAAGTGGTAATTGCTAAAAAGTTAAGGTAAATACTTTTTAAGTTTATTATTATTATTATTATAATATGTATTTTTTCAGTATTGCAGAGACTAATATATAATAGCATCTTTCCAAATTTAAATACAAAATCAGCATTATTTAATGCTTGTTGAAGGATGGCAAGTGCTAACTTTATAAGTAAGCAGAAAGAAATGTAAAACATTGGAATATTATTGTTCAATAAATTTAAAAGAGAACATGACAAAATGACTCCATATCAGATCAGAACTTTTGAAAACTTATCAGTACATACAGTCGATTCCGTTTAATTGGGCCACCAGTTAATCAGAGCAGCTGTTTAATTGGGACAAATTTCAAAGAACAGAAACCAAACTAATAAACTAATACATGATTTAAACACTTAATTGGGACAGTAAAAGAAAATGAATTTAGCAATTTTTGATATTTTTTTGTAGAAAAGGGCTGGCAGAATTACAATTTAATAAAAAAGTAAAATACATCTGGATACGAGTCTAATTAGACTCATATCCAGATTAGGGTTTGGGAAGTCTCGACATTCTCAAAGTCCCGGGACACGAGACAACCCACGATCAAAATCCCGGGATATCCCGGGACTTCGAGACTTCTCAGAATAAAATTAGAATCGAGTTCATTTTTGTCGAGATGTATCAATAAAAAAGCAATTTTAGTAAAAATCAACATTTATTGAACATAAAATCAAATCCTAACATTTATAACGTTAAAATCTAAACAGTTTGTATGTTTAATTCTTATAATCATAGATTCATTTTTGGCAGTGAAATCTTAAAATTATAAAACCAACTTAGCAATCATACTAATCATTAATTAATAATCATCACCTAGTTTCTATTCATTAGTCATATAAATAATATAATGAACTAGCAATTAGATGTTTTTTCTGGTTTAATAAAATAGGCCTTTAAAAACATCAGAGCATTTACAGTTTGTCCGACAATCTGTTTCTGATTTTTGTAATAATGCCTCCGGACAAGGAGAACACACTCTCGTTTTCAACAGATGTCGGTTTTATTGTGTTTAAATCTTTATAAAGTAGTTTCAAACTTTCAGTATGTTTTCCGGTTTCTTCAAATAACTGGAACTCCTCTTTTAATGCTGCTCTTGATCTTTTTGCAAAAATTTCGGATACATTTTCTTCGATTTTTTGATTGCCTGTTTGACGAGTTGTTTCAAAGTCCATTTGACTTTGAAACAACTCATTTGGTTCGTTGTGTATTGTAGAGCTACTGGTACTGGATTCGGCGTCCATTATTTCCAAATCTGGCGTTTGGATACGAGGGATATTTTCAAAAAGTCTGTAATGCAGATCTTCCGCAAAAGCAATAAGTGCAGTTTTATTCAAATTCGAAGTAAAAAAAATCCGTATTTTGCGACTGTGAGCTGTGGTGGCCAGTGTGCAAATATTTTAACAAACATTTAACAGAGTAAGGTTAAAAGTCACACAGCCTTGTAAATTACCCCCACCTCCGTTGTTTATTTGTAAACAGGAGGGAGAACAAAGGAAGCGTCGCTCGGCTAACCTTTTGAAAATAAAATTTCAAAAATACAGTTTCGATAAAAGTGTCTCGAGTCTTGACCCGAATGTCCCGGGACCCGAGACAATTAAATTTAGAAAAAGTCCCGGGACTTCAAGACACAAGACGTCCCGGGACGCAAACCCTAATCCAGATGTATTTTACTTTTTATTAAATTGAAATTCTGCCAGCCCTTTTCTACAAAGAAATATTATATTTTTAATTGTGTTGGGATTGTCACCTGTGGACATTTTAAACTGTTTTGCATATTTGTGCAGAGGCATAGCCTCTAAAGAAAGATTGTCTCTGCAGTGGAAATAGTTGTTTCTGGTGATTGGACATGGCAAGCAAAATTGGACTCATATCCAGATGTATTTTACTTTTTATTAAATTTTTGATATATTTTAGGGATCTTCCAAAAATATTGTATGTCAATAGTATGTACAGTACAGTAATGTCGTTTAGGCCTAACAGTTAGCAGAGACAAAGCGATTTTGTCTTTTGCTCGAGCAGTTCAATTTTTCTGGAGGGGAGTTAGTATAGTGGGATGTATCACACCACGATATTGTCTGAGGCAGACCTGAATTTGAGCGATTGACCCTGCTTCAGATTGGATCACTGTTGGGTTGGACAATCCCTTTAAAAGTGTAGGGATGAGAACCCCAGACAATTTTTTGAGTGTTTCTCAACTAAGTTGGAAGAAAGTTAGTTTCCTTGGAAGTGTTTTAGTGTTGATTTTATTTAAAATTCTTAAATCTTTGCCAAGATGCCAAGAAATGATTTTACACTTTCAAGTAAAATTGCCTTGTTGGATAAAATTAAAAGTTAGCCATTGAATACAAGCTATCATAGATTTGCTGATATAACTGGTTTACCAAATTCTACCATTGTGCGTCTCCTAAAACAAGAAAATCAACTACATAAAGAGAGGGCATTACAAAAAGAAATTCCAGGAACATCCAAAAGAAAATGTGATGGAAAGAATCCAGAAGTTGAAGAAGCATTAGATTAATAGTTTTCTATGGTTAGTGGATGAGGCATAAATATCATCGGTTCAGTGTTGAAGGTGAAGTCAGAGGAGGTTGCTAAAAAGCTAAACCACAATGATTTTAAAGCAACTGATGGTTGGTTGTCTCAGTGGAAAGTGAGACACAATATCAAATACAAAAAAGCACATGGAAAAAAGGGCAGTGCAGATGACGTAAGTTCTGAACAGTGGCAAAAAACTAAAATCCCTACTTTTTAGAGAATTTTTGTTCAGATGATATTTACAATGCTGACAAAACCAGCCTCTGTTATTGTGCTATGCCGAATGGCTCCCTGTGTTATAAGCACATTCCACTGTCAGAGTATAAGTGAGCAATGGATCACATTACTGTGTTATGTTGTGCAAATATGACGTACTGACGAATGAAAACTACTAATTGTAGAAAAAAGTGCTAAGCCTCGATACTTTAAGGAGATAAGAATAGAGAGTTTACCAGTAGAGTACCATGCCAACAGTAATGCGTGGATGATGTGTGAAATTTTTCGGAAGTGGTTTACGAGTTGGGACATAGAGTTACAATGTAAGCTTAGGAAAATTTTGTTGCTTCTCAATAATTGTGCTGCACATCCTCATTTAGATAATCTCAAAAATATATGGCTGGAATTTCTTCCTCCTAATACAACCTACTTAGTGCAATCAATGGACATGGGAGTAATAAAAAATGTAAAGACATTGTATTGAGGAAAATTGGTAAATTACATACTGGAATCTATGGCTCCTAATGACAAGTTCATCAACAGACAGAGAAATCAGTGCAAAAATTTCTATTTTGCAAACTGTACAGTTTGTAGCTGACAGTTGGCAAGCTATAAAAAGCAGCACAATACAAAACTGCTTTGCTGCTTGCTGCTTAAAACCTTTGGATGTTTCTGAAATTTTGAGCAGTGAAGAAAATGAAGGCATACTGCAAGTTCCTATCATCAATAATGAAGAATTTTCAACAATAGATGACAATTTACCATGTTACTACAAAAATGAAAACTTTGAGGATGCAATTGTTGACATCATCAAATCCAAGTGTAAAAAATTTGACGAAGAAAGCAATGACGAGGATGATGACACACCTGTGCTTGTGACAAATCATGAGGCAAAAAAAAATTTATAGTTGGTTACAGCGTTATTTTATGCAAGAAGATAATAAAGAAAGCCCCACATCTGTGCTGATTTTGTAGAACTGCAAAATTTCAGAAGTAAAAAACAGACTACACTTGATGCATTTTTGCAAAATTAAAATTTAAAATTGTAAAATTTATCATGAAAAGTAAGTGTTATTTTTCTGCACAATTTATAGTACAAATATTTTCTGTATTTTGTTTTAATAAAGGCAATTATAATTTTTTTACTTATTTATTTATATATTTACGCATTACATATTTTATTTTAGAAATTATTATTAGTTTGTTTAATCAAGACAGCTGCTTAATTGGGGCAAAATAGATTAGTCCCAACGTGTCCCAATTAAACGGAATCGACTGTAGTAAGAACTGCTACTTTAAAATAAAAAACAAAGATAAAAATATTATAGCCTTTTTTTAGTACAGATAAATATATTCCTTTTTTATAATATTCCTGGTTTGACAGTCAGTAGTTGACAAAAAAAGATCAAGTTGATAATTATACCCAATAGCAGAATTGAGAATAAAAAATTGGAAAAGGTTATCAAATTAATTTTCTCTTGATTGAAATCAAATGATTAGGGTTAAAAGTCATATTATACTAGATAATGAAAATTAATGAATGGTAATGACAATAATGTTAATCAGAAACAAAACACACTAGATTATTGTACAAGTTTCTTATATTTTGATAAAATGTAAATACATTAATGTAACAGTATCAATTATTGATTTTGCTTGCATGACAGCAAGCAAAACATTGGGACACAAAAATCACCCAATACCTTTTATTCTGTGAATGTTAAATCAAATCATATTCAGATGTGTAGTTAAAAACTTAAAATTGTGTGCCTTTTATGACGATCCATTGATGTTCTTTTATGCATACATATTACAACTTAGTTATAGCTCCTACATACTCACTTGTGGTGTCAAATCTGTTCCCAAACATTTACCAATAGAATTCAATATTGTTGTTGAATGAAAAAATACAAAGACCTCCTCCAGAATCCCAGGGGTATATAAGATCCTGTTACAAGATGACAGATTTGACACCATGAATGAGTATGTAGGAATAACAATCATTATTATATACATGCTTAAAAGAACACCAATGGAACATTATAAAAGGCATACAAGCAACTACATTGGCAATGTAAACAACAACTCCAGGGATACAAGTTGACTTACATGCAACTAGGATAATCAGATTGGCCAAAAAACAGGAAGAACTTGGAACAGCTTGAAATAAATTTATCTTCAAGAAACAAGGATACATCAAAATGAATAAGTTAAAAATCAGTAAGACAAAATTTCTTTGTTTTGTTAATAAACAAATAGGAATAAAATTGTTAATCCAGAGCACTTGCAAATTCAAATAAATGAGGATAAAATCAGCAGAGTGAGAATAATTATGGATGATAATCTTTGTTGGAACTGGCAGATAGATAATATTGTCCTGTCTCTTGCCAAATTCACTGGAATAACAAGAAAAATTCAGACTTTTTTGAGTATCACTCATCTGAAGAAATTACATCATACATGTGCTGAAGCAAAAATAAGATGTAAAATAAATGGTTGAGGTACTGCATCCAATTATACAGTTAACAAACTACAAGTAGAGCAAAATAATTTTATTCTAGCCATTCATAACCTACATTTTAGAGATTCAGTGTCAGAATATTATCAACTTGATAAAATTGACAGCATCTGTAGCTTATATACAAAATAAGTTTGCTGGCGAGCCACAGATTCATTAAGGGTAATAAGGATAATAGCTAACTTGGAAATATAATAAAAAAATATCATAACATTTCTATTTGAAATGCCAGAAGGATTTGTGGTTACTCAGTCCCTAAGGTAAGCTCATAGTGGGAAAAATCATCACCAATATTCTAGATGATTATACTGGTACACTTGAACAAATTGAGTAATGAATCTAAGGAAATATCAAGTTTTTAAAAATAATGTTAAGAATTTGTCTTGTCAAGACTGTTATTTGATTTTTCGGTTTAATATTTGTTGATTTTTATTTTTCTTTGGTTTACTTGTAGACACTTGAAAAAGGCATAATGGCCACAGCGTCTTTTCTAAAAATAAAAATTAAAAAAATAATGACGGAAAGTGACATATGAAATTTGATAGTGTTCAAGCAGATGATGAAATTCACTGTTCTGGAATACAGCCTTTGACAACCTTTCTTTGTAGGTACCTTGTAGGCTTTTTTTTTTTTAATTGAACATTTCAAATTTAGTACAGGAAATCTTTGTTAGTTCAAAATTCAAGGGATGAAATAATTGTGACTTTGAATTATCCAGGATTTACATATTTATGTATAATATCCCGAATGTCATGTAACTGATATAATTTATTAAGCAAATAGAATACAGGAACATATAAAGAACACTATTTTTATTAATTAATAATAAAATAATAATATAAATAAACTGTGAATAAACAGCATGTGTCTGCTGAGAACCTCACAGGTTGCCAGATAGGTTTAATGAAAAGTAAAGCAGAATTCCTCAAAATATAGCTCAAATTATTTTTAAAGTGGCCCAAAAAGTAGTAATTCATCCAAACATAGTAGCCTAGAGTCCTACAAACATCTTACTTGTAGCCTAATTTTGCAATCCCAAAACCCAGTAGTATTTTATGAAATAAGAGAGAAAGGGATATTCCATGGGTAAGGTGGCACCCAAAAATGTGTTACTGTAAAGGCAGTCATATTGACCAGATTAAAGCTGTTGGTCTACTGTTCTTTTATAGCATAGAGACACTTTGATCTAAATGAACAAGTAACATGCATAACACAATTCAGACAGAATTTCATTTCAAATTTCAAAGTAGCTGTATTTTGAACAAACCAAATTCCTTAATATGGGACAAATAGTACAGTTACAAACTAATGGAATTTCAAACTATCCAAGTTAGAATTAACAAGGATTTTCTGTATGAAGAGAAATATAGAAGGGCTTTAATGGGAAGACTTTTTTTGTTGTTGACTAAAAAAATGTAAGTTGTAACAATTAAGTTTTTATTCAATAAAAAAAAATTGTAAAATCAGTTTATGTGAAATTTTAAAGACATTACTATGTTATAGTATAAGTGCATGTACTCCAACTGAAGGGCCCATCAGTGGCCAAGCGGTCTTCATTCCCTGAACACTGGGAGTTTGGTCATGGGTTTGTGCCTCACTTGGACGGGCTGACCACATGGTGTTTTCTAGGTTTTTTTTATGTCTGTAACGCCTGAATAGGGGCAGGTTTCCTTTTAAAAAAAACCTTTTGGAAGGCATCCATCTAGGCAGATCGCACAAGTGTTGCTTTGATGTAACTAAATAAACTCCAACTGAAGAGGGGCAAAAGGCCCAAAATGCATTCTCAAGAGAGAGAAGATAAAAATAAAAAAAAATGAGAGTAGATTGTTAGTTTCTGGTTTGTTCTTTAATCTCAGGTATAATAAGTCTTAAACAACCCACATTGTAGAGTAGTAAAATAATAAAAAACATGGAAAGACTTTATTAAGAAGTTTTTCTATGTACTGTGCTATATATATTTTTTGATATTGGGTTGGCAACTAATTGATTGTGGATTTTGTCAATAGGTGGCCTTAGCACATTTTTTTTGCTTTGTCATTGTGTTCAAAGCATTTAACCTATACTGTTTTCTTGTTTGGACTTCCACCTTTAATTTAGTAAAAAAATTGTATCGATTAGTTATTTAGTTTTGTTTTTATCACAATTTAAAAATGGAAGAACAAGACGCACATTTCAGACATATTTTATTGTATTATTTCCAAAAAGGCAAGAACGCGTCACAAGTACACAAGAAGTTATGTGCCATATATGGGAATGAAGCCTTGAAAGAAAGGCAGTGTCAAAATTAGTTTGCCAAATTTCATTTTGGTGATTTTTCACTGAAAAATGCTCAACGATCTGGCTGTCTAGTTGAAGTTGATGAGACCCATATCAAGGCCTTTATCGATTTAGATCGTCATAGCACAATGCGTGAGATTGCACAGAAGCTCAGTAATCAATAGGAGGGGAAGACACACCACCGAGCTCGCAAGGAAGGTACTTGAGCAGGGTTACAACCCGCTATGGTCCAAGCGGTTATGCTCAAGAGCTGCAAGGATCGAAAAACTGTTTTTATATGGGAATCTCTCCTCACTACCACCTTGGACACTTGCAACACCCCTACGCTTGAGCTGCCTAGTGTATGGGTCATGCTGTATAAGCGTTTAAGCGAGTATTAGCAGTCTCTAGTATGCATGTAGCGTGAGCATGGCTCCGCGCATGCGCCAGCTTGCACTTCACGGAGCTTTCTGCTCGTTTGGTTTTCGAATTATGTTTAAATATTTACTTTGTGTTCTTAGCGGCTTTAACATAATTTTAGTTTATCTTATGCGTTATATTCTGCATTCGATTATTTTTATTTAAAATTGTTTGGTAAATATCTGTATTCGCCTGAGGACGATGACAATAAGTTCGTTGAAAGTACTAGCGATAAAAAAATGCATGTAACGCTGAACTCAGTGTCTTTGTTTTTGTTATTACACAGAAACTCAACGTATCACATACATGCATTCAAAAAAAATTAAAACAGCTTGGCTATGTCAAGAAACTGGATTTATGGGTATCTCATCAGCTTAAGGAAATTCATTTGATGCAATGCATTAGCATCTGCGATTCACTCTTGAAACGCAATGAAATTGATCCATTTCTGAAACGACTGATTACTGGCGACAAAAAGTGGATAGTTTATAACAATGCTAATTGGAAAAGATTGTGGGTGATGCAAGATGAACCAGCCCAGACGACACCAAAAGCTGAGATTTCCCAAAAAAAGATTATGCTATCAGTTTGGTGGTATTATAAAGGAATTCTGTACTTTGAACTTTTACAAAGAAATCCAATGATTAATTCAAACATGTACATTCAACAACTCGCCAAACTGAGCGATGCAGTTCAAGTAAAGTGGCGAGAATTGGCAAATCGTAAGGGTGTTGTTTTCCAGGATGACAATGCAAAGCTCCACACATCTTTGGTCACTCGCCAAAAATTATTGGAGCTAGGTTGGGATGTGTTGTCACATTCACCATATAGCCCTAACCTTGCACCTTCAGATTACCATTTATTTTGTTCCATGCAGAACTCCTTAACCTTTCAACAGTAGACTAGGCGGGTATGATTCTACCCCCAGTAGTGGAGAAGAAACGTGAGAAATGTTTAAAGTATTTTTCCACACGATTTTTTTTATTAGTGTTTCAGAAAAAAATGTTGTAAACAGTTATGTCTAGTAAAGATAAGTCTTTTTTTATTTTTTTTTTGCGGTAGTTTTAGGATAGTTTTTGGCGATACCCCCCAAAAGAATTTGATGACTATAGTCATCCCTCACCACTGCCACACAATTGCCCTTGATGACTATAGTCGTTGCTCACTTGCTGAGTGGTTAAATGGTAAAATTTTTAATGACGCTGATGATGTAAAATCACATTTAATTCAGTTTTTTGCTGGCAAAAATCAGAAGTTTTATGAACATGGAATTATGGCACTGCCTGAAAGATGGCAAAAGGTCATTGACAAAAATGGACAATACCTAATTGAATAAAGTTATATTTTTAAGCAAAAATTTTGAATTTTCCTTCTTATTTAAAATCTGCAACAACTTAGTTGCCAATCCAATATGTACAGTAAAACCTGTCCAAAATGGAATCTGAATAAAGTGGAAACCTGCTAAACCAAAAAAAAAAGTAAATTCAGTACCTTGCAATTCTGGTTTACATGGGTTTTAATATATATGTAACATATGAAGAGATTTGAATTTTGTTGCAATTAAATGATTCAAATTTTTCTCATCTGAAGATTGCCTTTAAATAAGGTTGAAAGCATTTGTAAAATAAATAAGTCTGCTGGAACTGTAAGGTGTAATTTATTAGTAAATAGTTAGTAAACACAATTGCAACAATTGTTAATTTACCATGGAACAGTTATAAAGTAAGATATCTTAAGTTTTTTATAAAGAAAATATTAAAATGTGTTATCTTTTTATTTTAATTTCCATATATATGTTTATTTTTAGTTAGTTTTTATTTATTTTCAAATTAATATTTTATATTTATTTTTCTGTTTTTATTTTTCTTTCAGTTTATAATTATTGTTTTAATAACAGAATTTTTAATATGAAAATTACATTATATCATTGCAACATAATAAAATAAAAGGTGAGTTAAAATAATAACTTTCTGAAAATTTCTCTCAGAAATTGTTGAAAATATTATTATAATAATAATTTTCAAAAAATCTGACTCTGGATATTTTTACATATGCAAAATCATATTCATATGTGTATATAATTATATATATATTTACTCTATCTACTAATTTTCATAAAATCTTGAATCAATATTGTAATAAATGTAGAATTCATTTCTAGATAACTTATGTATACAGCTAGAAATAAATCCTCTATACATGTTATCAAAGAACAATGACACACAGTTTAGACAAAATACTTTAACTTCTTTATGAGGATGTGCATACAGTTAACTGCAAAACAAAGAAAAACACAAAAATAAATACTGAAACTGAACCAAATATATTAAATAACTAGACATTTGAAGTTAAAATTGAAGAATAAGTCTATCAAAGAACAGTCACCATTTATTCACTTTCACTATTATGGAATATAGCCTTTGATAACTTTTCTTTGTAGGCTACCTGCAGGGTTTATTTATTTAATTAAACATTTGAAATTTTGGAGTGCTTGGAACAGTCTTAAGGTTGTGTGATTCAAAAATTGAATGATTCTTTGAAAATATGTTTTCAAACACCTATTTTGAAAATGCTGTGGCTTCTACTCATTGGCTGAGAGCCATGGCAACAGGAGTCTTATTTCATTATAATATTTTCTGACAAAACTTTTATTGAAATAAAATTATTATGTAATTATTTTGTGTGTTAAAAAATTTGTTGTTTTGTGTAGGCATTATTTGAGAAGAATGTATTATAATAATATTTAATAAAATGTTTTTACTGTAGTCATTATCTAAATTTTCTTAATTAAAGGCTACCAAAATCAGAGTTATTTTCTAAACATGAATGTAATTTGTAGTCAGTTTTAGTTTTAGCTTAATTTTCAGTACTTTGTAATTCTAAACTTGAATTAGATTTAGAAATGCAAATTAATTGTTCTAATATTTCTTTCAAATAATCTATGAGTTATCTGTATTTAAAGCAAATTTGAAATAATGATATGTACTGTTGCAGGCTATATGTCAATTTTAAATTACAGTTATAAGCTCAACCAACAGGTTTTTCCTTGTCCAAACTTACTAAGAGCATCTTTAAAAATCATGAAGAATTTTATATGCATCACACACATTCAACTGCCATCACAACTTTTCTGGAAACCATCAAAGATACATATAGATACTTCTCACTATTTTAATTCTCTTCCATTTTTCTGTATGTTCTGTTAATCCATGTTTTATTTAATTGATGTTATTAGACATACCTACATAAACTTGTATCTTGAAAGCTGATAAATTCAGTAATTTTTTTTATACATAATGACTCTCGGAGAACTATTTAGAAACTGACTATTAAGATTTTATCACATGTTAATTCTCTACAGTGAGTTAAAGCTAAGCGTTGTCATTCAAGATGATGGGTAGGTTCTGCAGAAAGTGTTCCCACTTTTCTCTCAAAGTAGATTATGTTCCAAAAATGTAGAATAACACTGCTGGGTGTGTCATTCACTTGTTCTTCACTTGCACGAGACTTAACTTTTTCATTTTTATGCCCCTTGTTGAAGGTTTTTACCCATCTTGTTATTGTTCTATATGGTAATGCAAATTTCCGACAAGCCTCTAACAGTCCTTGGCAACACTGTCATGCAGTATGACCTCTAGCATTTTCAATCTTTATCCAATTTTGCTGCTCAAATTTTGAGAACATTGTGACTAGACTGGGCGATAACAACAGGCCTTGATGTCTTGTCACTGTTGGTGTATGGAGTTAGATGGTAAAGTTCATTTGCTCTGAGGTAAGACAGGTATGTAACCAACATCTGGTCTAGATGACATTAGTTGATTGCATTATGTTGGGTTTCTACAGCACTGTTTCTACTATTAAATTTCCAACTCACATATATCAAATGTAATTAATAATATATCAAATAAAAAAGTTTTGTATATAAATCTTTGAATTTCAAAGTCCAATTTATAAATTCTGACAGTTATTTGTACTGTACATTTCATAAAAATACAGCCTTAATGCATTAATTATTCTGAGCATTAAAAAATAAATTAAAATGTTAATGTTTCTATAACTTGATACATCATCACTGATTTCATTACTTATTGATATTTAAAATTTATTGATTTCTAGTTGCGTTAATATTAAATTAAACATGTAATTTAATAAATTTTTATTTAAATAAATTATTTTAAATTAGGAACAGCATTTGCATATGAAGAAGTTGAATCTTCTACAGATAGTGAAGATGAAGTTTTGCAAAGACTTCAGCATTCCACAAGCTTATACACTGGTTTGCGTAAGGTTGGTGGTACCATGGGAGAAGAATCCCATTCTAGCAGACAACCTATGAAGAACACCTTTTCATCTTCCAGTATTAATCAAGATAAATGTTCTACTTCTGGTATTATTTGCATTATAAATTATCATCATTACTTGTACTATAAATTTTAAATACAAAATTAAACCTTTCTATGTGTGAAAGTAGTAATAAGTTTTAGATTTGAAATATTTTTAAAATTATTTAGCAAGAATGTAATTACATTTTTTTTATAGGCCTTTATCAAGAACATATTTCTAAGGTTATCCACGGTGACCCCATTTCCCTTGTAGAGAAAGGACGTGTTGGAAATGCAGGAAGTGCTTCTTCCTTTTCCAGTGAAACCAGTATTGGAGAAACAAGAGAAGATCCAACAGCTATTTCTCAGCCACTGATAGCTGACAGTAGTTCGCATCATTTTGAAAATGGTGCCTTTCAAAATATTATAGATTCTCCAGAGGTTTCTAACCATACTTTTTCAAGATTTGGTGAAACAATGATTGATAATGATGTAAGATAAATATATAGTTATATAAAAAAAATACATATTCTATAATAATTAATCATTTCTGTTTAAAATTTAGGAACATCTTTTTGATGTAAGTGATTTAAATAGCACTCTTGGTGAACAGGAACCAGGAACAGGCACTCGATGTGGTGCTTTGGAGGTAAAGTTCTCATACGATGTGACATCTCGTAAAATGACAGTAAATGTGATTCAGGCACAGGATCTTCCTTCTCGAGATCGTGGAGGAGCAAATCATGTCCAGGTAAAAAAAATAATTTATTTATTATTTTTTTTAACTTTAGTTATATTCATATACAGTTTAAAATTTGTATTTTCCAACAAAGGTCAGAATATTGTTGTTACCTCATAAACGCCAGAAATATAAAACAAAAATTCGTAATGGAAGTAGTCTTCAGTTCAATGAGACATTTGTTTTTAGTAGAATTAATCCAGGTAAATATTAAATGAAATTTTAAATTCCATGCTTTATATTAAAATATAAATTCAAATAAAATGCAGTGATTTAAGATTTCACTGAGGATATTTCTTTTTTTAATTATTAGAGGAAATTGGTAATATGGGTTTGCGTTTTCGTTTGTATGGCTGTGAACGTATGAGAAGAGAGCATTTAATTGGAGAAGCCATAATTCCATTTTCTTCAGTTACTTTGGAAGAGAGCAGTGCATTCTGGCTAATGTTAGAGCCGCGTTCCAATCTTGCAGTATGTATCTATCCTAAATAAAAATAAAGTAATAATAATTATTATCTTATAACTTAACAAATTCAAATTGTCTACTTAATATTTTATATTAAACTTGTTTTAAGTATATTATTTAGTTTAGATTCAGGTTTAATTATTTATTTTCAGCATTCAGATTCTAAAACTGATATATCCAGTTTAGCTAGAAGTGATAGCACAGGTTCAACACATTCTATGCAACATGGTGGATTACCAGAATTATTGTTAGGATTAGCTTACAATGGAACTACAGGACGTTTATCAGTTGAAGTGATTAAAGGGAGCCATTTCCATAATATCTCTCTTAACAGAGCACCTGGTAAATACTAATTTTATTCATTAATTATATATATTGTATTTTAAAAAGTTATATACTTTAACTGTGTGATTATTATTTTTAAGATACTTATGTGAAACTCTCTTTGGTTTCATCAAGTGGTCAAGAAATTGCAAGAAGCAAAACGTCAGTTCGAAGAGGACAACCAAATCCTCTTTTTAAAGAAACATTTGTATTTCAAGTAAGCTAGATATAAAGAAAATAATCTGTCAAAAATAATTCTTTACTTCACATATAATTGTATTTTAAAATTTTCTTCATTTAGGTTGCATTGTTTCAGTTACCTGATGTAACGCTAATGGTATCAGTATATAATAAGCGCAGCATGAAACGTAAAGAAATGATTGGATGGTTTTCTCTTGGTTTGAATAGCAGTGGAGAGGAAGAATTAGCACACTGGAATGATATGAGGGAGAATAAAGGAGAGCAAGTGTGCCATTGGCACATTTTATTGGAGACTTAATTTCTTTCTCATTGTTTTTGATTTCATTACCTATCGAAAGGGTTGAAGACATGTGTCTTACCGTGTATTCTCCACCTTCCTGTGTCAACAGCTGCGATATTGCAAAGCTGAAGGGAATTGTATCCCAGTTTTTCCCATCTCAAAATGCCTTTTGCACTGCATGCTTCGAAGGGGTAAGAGAATCGATGTATATGTTTTATCAATCAGGCGTTAATACCAATCTTTAAAAGAATTTATATAATGCACTCTGTGATGAATGTCTGTCTGTGTCAGCAATACAATGTATGCAAATGAAAGATTGACAGAAACAATGCATTTATTATTGTTAAAGCAAATCATTGTAAATTTCAGAGATTACAAATATAATTTCTACGTAAAGATTCTATTGTTGTAATTCTAATTAAAAAAGAAGAAAGTTAATTTGATAGCAAAATCTAATAACCTTTTAAAGAAGACAAATCAGATTGGATAAATGTAGCAGATTCAGAATTTGTAAATAATTGAAAGTGTAAATATACATTAATATTTTTAAACGTTTATAAAATTGAATTTTGAAAAAAATAATAATAAAAATGAAAGCTATGACTATAGAATTGTGATATATAAATGGTTGCAAAGGTAAATACCAATTGTTTTCATTTGTGGAAAATGGGTAACATCTTTATTGTTACTGTACCCAAAATGAGTTTACTTTTTAATGTACTGTACATACATACTATATATAGGCGTTTACAATATATGTTTATGAATATAAATATGAACGATAACTGCAAATAACTTGCTTTTTATCCCCTTTTCCATAGAACTATATGTTGTAATATTTCAATTTATATGAATATTCTGAAGGAAAAAATTACATTTTATCTAAACTAATATTAATACATGAATATGTTGTATATTGTGTAAAAAAATTTCATGTTTATGTATCATATCATTTGAAGATAGCAAGAATTTCTACCTGTAAAAGCAAAGCTATTGATTCCAAAAGTAGCATTCGTTATGCCTCGGTCCCGATCAAACTGAAAATATGAATATTGTACCATTATTAGATTTAAGTAATCCAATATTTTAATCTAGTTCATCTATACATTCATCATCTTGGCATATTTTCCTCAAAAAATTTAATGCTGTTGGCAGTTCTTTCTGTATTTGTTTTGTGTTTGAATTTATAGTGGATTATATATTGTCAATTTTTCTTCCCAGATTTTTGTCTATTACCATAACAAATGGTATTAAGTATATCCTATGTGAAATTGTATTGAAATAAATATTGAATTGGCATTCTTGTCATTTTCTGTTATCGATATAAAAATTCTTTTGTCTTAAGAATTTAATTTATTGGAAGCAAATTAATTACAATTAATGAATACATTGTAATTTGTTAATTTATAGATTTTAATTATTCTCTAATTGCTAATTTGATATTTATATTGTAATGATATCCTGAAATAATCATGATGATCATTTAAATAATTATAGTTAAGAATTCTAAACTTTGTTTCTGACTGAAAAGAAAAAAATAAATTAGTCAAATGAATATTTGTTTTTTATTTATAACAAAAGGTAAAGTTGGTTTAGATTGTGGAACTTGAACAATTGCATTAAAAAAATCATAATTGTCCCCCAAGCATTTGTGATATGTAAAATTTGTTTTTTGATAATTTTGTAAGGAGAGTCATTCTCCTTGGAAAATTTTCAATCTTCACAATTTATTTTTCATTAAAAACAAACTGATTTTCTTGATCAAGATTATTATTGTTAAACATATTTTTAAACCAGTTATGGGGCTGATGCCTTGATTAATCGTTCAAAGGGTCGTTCCAGATGCATATTGAACTTTCTCCATAAATAACTAGCCAAGCATCTCGATTTGGTTAACATATCTGGTCGCGGACTGTGAGTCCATTTCATATTTTCCAGGAATCCATCATCTGTATTTGTAGTATATACGTTTGAACCGGGACTGAGCCACAATTTCAAACAATTTTTAACTTCCTCTGTGGAAGAAGAAGAATTGGATAAAATCACAAAAAATCGTTTCTTAGGATCTGTAACTATATAATCACAAATAACAAGGTTCCAATGGCGATATTGACCCGAACTCTTCTTCCTCCAATAATTTGATTTCCTTTTAAACAATTCCAAATGCAGACTTCTTCCATGATTTTCCGAAAATTTTCCAATTCAAAACGCGTAATTATCGAGCCCTGGAAATTTTTCACAATGTCTTCAGTTGTAGACGAATACCAAGCGTAAATAATGTTAACGATAATTACGATATTGACCAAAGACAAATTCAAAATATTTGAAAGGTACGATTTCATTCATCGAATAAGTTCTGCAAGTTTTCGATGAACAAGACCATGTTTCTCTATCGCAGTGTTTTTCAACCTGTGGGTCGCGACCCCCAAGGTGGTCGCGAAGCCTTACACAGGGGGTCGCGGGTAAAAGAAAAAGACAAGTGTTTGTAGGTCCTACACTACATTTAAAAAACTATAATTTTAGCGAGAAGGCTGTACCTGTTTATTATACAGTACAATTGGTTTTTTTGATCGGCATTTAGGTCTGAACGATGGGTGTCGCCAGGGAGGGGCTCACCCCAGAAAATGATAGCCGAAAAAGTGTTGAGCTGTAAAGTAATAAGGTAGTAAGTAGAAAAGTAGAAGTTCAGAACTCTCATCCTAAAAAAAAAAAGAAAAAAGAAAAAAAAAGGTCAACAGCACCCAGAGCCCAATGTTATAATGAAAAAGACGTTTCATACTATACGTGTCTTAAGTTATTGGGATTCTTAAATTCTCATTTTAATCAACAATAATTTCTCTCAACAGAAAGAAAATTAAATACATAATTTTTAAAATCACTGATATACAGTAGTTTTAATATGGCCCTAGGAGGTCGCCAGAATTTTTTAACTTGTAAAGGGGTCGCGTATTCAAAAAGGTTGAAAAACACTGCTCTATCGAATTCAATTTTACACACCATAGAAAAGGAACAACTGCATATTTTCCTGTTTACTATTAAACCATTGCGATTGCCTAATTTGTGAAACTATCAATGTTACTGAAAATCATTTGCATGTATTTTAGTTCTTCATATTTGATTTTTAAAAGTTGTATTTCGACTTCAACTGGATATAGAGATGCTATTGGCTCGGTTTCATTCCACATACTGTATTTAGTAAAAGTTTACTGCAAAATCGATATCAAAAGTTCTAAAATTCAATAGCGTGCCGTCCTTGGAAGCGGTGGAAGCGCCGTTTTCCTTGTATTTTCTAAAATATAAATACATATTGCGCAATTATTTTCATATTTTAACGTACTTTGAATTAATTAAAATTAATATTTTATTATAACCGCATTATGTATCTTATTATAAATTTCTATACAACATGTGAAAAAAACGATAAGATCGCTATTGTATATTCGAATATCAGTGGCAAAATGGAAGAGCTGTATTGTCGACAGCTTCCATGGCGAAAATATCTGAATGATGTAAAGCAGCTCAGTGGCGTACCGTAGTGGGGGCGGCAAAATTTCACAATAAATAATAATATCTTTAATAATTTGAAACATCCTAATCTATACTTGCATCTCGTTTACGATAGTATCGTCCGGACAGTCCGGGAATCGGCTCGCCAGGTGAACTAGTGACTTTTTCATCCGAAGAGCTCCTGTTGACCTTTTTTTTCTTTTGCTTGTATATACACCACTAATATCCAGTAGAACTATTTTAAACAGGTCGCTGCGCTACCACCGAATTTTTCATTGCTTGTTCTGTGACAAAACTGAATTTTGGTCTTTTAAGTTGAAATACCTAAATAAGGGGGGCGAAATTTTTCTCCGCCCCAGGCGGCTGACACCTACGGTACGCCACTGAAGCAGCTAGATTATACGTATTCGCTTCATAGAGCACCAACCTCACGCGGTTTAACTGGTGATGCTATACACCAAAATATTGTATAACGCTTCCAATAATTCTACCCAGGACCGGTTCCGGGCTGTTAGCCGCCTGCCTGCTAGATATTTGGCCGCCCTCGCCCCGTTATGTGAATCACGAGTAGATTTATAACTTAATCTAACCGATAGGAATTTACCGGTATGTTTTTGTAATAGTTCTGTATAGCTGACAGAAATTTAAAAAAAAATCCATTAAAATATTTGATATATTTATTCTGCTTTTCCATTTTGTATTGCTTACAGATTTCAATGTTAAACCAGTGATATTACGATTTCGTATGTCCCATCTATAATATAAGGGGATGTAGAAAAATATGTGTACAATTCTTGTATAATGTTACAAAAGTAACTGTTACTTTGGCAGCATCATTTACAACTAAATTTAATGAATGAGACGCACGAGGTACAGAAAAAGCTCTAGAATTTATTTTCCTTAAATTTACGATTTACGATGTATCCGTTGTCATAAAAATTTGTCTTTCCACTTCTTTCCCAAGACTTTTTTCCCAATATTCAAGTACAATATAACCGGTTTCAACATATTTTGACATAAGGAGTTAAATAATTAAGAGATTAGGGAATTGGGGACAAAACCCTGATGAAAGAGCCGAAATTTTACTTAAAAGCTATCAGAGACAGACCGGACCAATCTCTTGTCGAGTACAGTGGAGACTGATTTCTTCGTAATATTAGATGTAATAAAGAGAAATTTTTCCAGTTCAATGACAGTGACTGAAAAGTATATTTTGGAAATTTCCGTAGACTCCAGGTCCTAAAACGAATTAATTAGAAAACAAACGACGGACGGTCTATTAAGTTTAACATATTTAGATTTTTAACAACTATGGTGAGAAACGTTTAAAATGTTCAACAACATTGTCGCGTCCTTTGAGATATACGAGTGACGCGACAAAACGGGAATCCATTCGACTTAAAAATTTAAAAAGACCAGTATCGGCACTCTCGGGATTTGGTAGCCACGTGCATGCACGCACTGCACACCTACCGGTCTGTCTCTGATTCCATCCATTAGCCACTCTTAGGGAATTATTTGACTAAGTGGATTGTTTTAATTAAGATTTAAAAAGTAAAGAATATTTTATGTTATTTTTATGTACGTTTCTTAACAAAGCTATATTTAATTATAATTTTCTTTAAAAGTATATTCATACAATTGAAGAATATTTTGTACCAGGTATGTATATCCACAACACATTTTATTTCACCAAATAAGTTTTTATTTATAATTTTAGCCCTTATATCGTGGCTAGCGAATCGGAATGTAATTGTGATATTAAAAATACACTTACAGTTAGAGAAGTCTACTGTTTTTACTGGCTTATCGAACAAACGAATACGAATGGACCCTAGACGTCACTGACCCGCAATTAACTGATTGCCCCCTGGAAGTCTGCTTCTTACAGAAACAGCTTCCCTATCATCAAATGTCACGGCACGTCACTGCTAGAAAACTATACGCGGTCAGCCCGTTGGCAAGGTATAAACCCATGACCAACTACCAGGTTCAGTACTTTTATCCATTCGGGTATTTAAGGGCCCCGCAAAATATAGTGTTGAACAGTGCCTCATACTCCTTTTTTTGGTGGTGAGACAAAACCCACAGTCGTGGGTTTGTCTCACCACCAAAAAAACACATTCCAATTCCATCAATTTTTAATTGCACATGTACTGTATGTCCAATAAAACCTCTGAACATCATTATTACGTCGTAGAATCGTTTAAAAATTATTCATATCTTTTGATGTTGCTTGGTAAATGTAGTACTTTTGGGTTGCACTATTTCATCATCACATCATATCATCGTTTTTTAACATTTTGTTTAATTCTTGTCTCGACATTTTCCTGGTGGTACATGCAAAACGTTCACTATTTTGCATTGATTTGCAAAAATGTATTTTATTGCATTGAAAATTTCATTGTACGAGGTCTATAGATCTTCAAGATTATAAAGAAATACAAAATCTCGATGAACAAAGTTGTATAATTTTTTTCGTAGTCTATTACAATCGTTAATTGTAATTAATTTCCGATTAACTTGCCAATATACCCAGGCGGTATTTTGTTACAAATCTAAAGGTACCAGAAACCATTTACAAACTTAAATTTAAACTTATGTCCTGGCGAAAAATATTTTTTTAAATGTATAATGTTTTTAAACTGTATACGCCGCTGCAGATGGAACTTTTTAACGTTTTGCGTGTTGAGGCGTGGAATAATATCCTATAAAGAAAGGTGCAATTGTTATTTCTTGATGGTGTTCGAAGGGACAACGAAAACGGACACTTATACAGTTAGTCGAAGGAAGAATTCATTTGTGAATTTTTTAGTCATTATGGGTTCGATCAGGGCCACAACGGGACGATCTGGTGGTGAGAGGGGTCCGACATATCTGGACGGACCCACCTTCGAAAAATTCCTGGTATTTTTCGACCCGTCCGAATTCCATTCCGAATCTCCAGATTAATAGGCTGTCACCTTAATTGTTCGGATAGGACCTCATGGAGTTTTCCGAGTTTTTTAACATCTAAATAAGGGTTAGTTTTTTATATAACGTTTTCCCGGGAGATACCCCTTAGCAAATCGCTCGCGCGTTACTTTTTCCTATTCCAGCAAACAATACAACCTACCAAAAACATGAAATCTTTGGCTTTAGCTCACTTCTACAAACCTCTCTCCAAAATTCAATTTGAATGTAATTATTTTAATGAAAACATTTTTTAACAATCCAGCAATGAATTGCGTAACTTTCCCGGCTTCACCAGGAAAGTTTGCAACACGCTCTTTTGTCAGACGCCATATGACAAAAGCTATGTTGCTTCAGGCTTTATTAAAAAATCCGAAAGGTCAAATTGGACACTATTCCGATACTTTTCCTTGTTATGTATACATACTAGCCGGGAAAGTAAAAGGAAAAAGTTCTTGTGAATTACCCGTAGTTGAGAAAGAGAATGGGTAGGGAAACCATTGAGGTAATGATGAAAAAAAGATTGAATCGTATTCTTGGATGCTAAATTCTGCGAGAATGAAATGGACGACAGGTTACGACAGACGCTCGGGCCTCTATTAGAGCATTTAAAGCATATATGTGCATGAGCTGGCTACCTGGCTGTAATAATTGCTCTTTTATTTCTGCGCGAGAAGAAAAGATTTATTTCTCGTATCTAAATGTGACTTATTAACTAATTTTCAACTGATAACTATTTGCATATATTGTGTGAGAGAAAACACAATTTTAGACACGTGAACAAATTTTATAGTTAATATTAAAATAACCGAAAAAACTTTTATAATACAGCGGAACGAAAATGAAGTCCGAGACAACACCAAACCGACAGAGAGGATAAACAGATTGAGCCACGGAGAAGCGACCATTCTTTTTCCTTGAATTTCTGGCTTTTTAAAGGAGCTCACCACTAAATTCTTAATTTGACTGGTTAATCAATTTGACACTTCCGTACGACTTGGTCCGCAAGTGTTGATTCAACTTTGAAACTTTCGTTCGTTCTCACGCCTTTTCTGTCAGTTGAGAATTTTTTTACGTCTTCATTACTTGCAACGCGACAATTTTGTTTTCAAAGGAATGCTATATTTATTTTCAAATTTTGTCATATTTACGACAGTCAGAGTCAAAGCTCGATTTTTCCGATTGACATTTCAAACATTCCAATCCGTTCGATCTCACGGGGCTGCAATTGAAAAAATTGTAGACCTATAAATTTCCACTGTCGTCTTAATCTGCAGAAGAGAGTTAGATGAAATCTGAGACCAAATGTAGAAACCTTAGGGACAGGAGACCCCAATTAACTATATAAGAACTCCCCATGCAAACCGGAGGTCACGTTTTTTTCAATTTAAAACTCCTCCCGAAAGCAGTTAATAGATGACCGGCACGACTCTATTGTTAAAGGAAAAGTATGATGTACAGAGGCAAGCCACTACTAATTTCAGGTGGAGAGCACATGTTTTAAATTAAATGATTTAAAAAATATGATTAAAAATTGCAACCGGCATTGTGACCATGTCACAATAAATAATTGCTCGTAGTTATAGTTTGTTTAGGAAAACTTTGGTTTCAACTTGTGAAAATATTACAATGAAAAACCACATTTTGACCTTTGTCATGTTATGAACCACAAAATTGAAGTTAAGATTTTTCTAAGAGGCAATAAAAAGTTAATAATTGTGAGAAATGCAAGAAGCGTTGCATTTGCTCATCAAACATAGACAAAGAAAACATGTAAGTAAGTGCAAGGGCCAGATAGCACATAGCATTTGCCTGTGTGGAGTAATGTTTTGTACTATCCCTGTTCGCAATAGAGTAGTGTCGGTCATGTAGCTAACTCTGTTCGGGTCGAAAATTTTGAATTAAGGTAGTGTTACTTCCGTTCCAAACGGAAAGTTCTTATATAGTTAAACTGGCCCTCCTGCCCTATACAGTACTTTTCACATGTGGTCTCGACTTTCATCTACCTAACTCCTTTCTCGAGTTTAAGGAAGGACAGACAGATAGAGGACAACAGTCAAAATTTATAGATCTACAATTTTTCAAATTGCAGCCCAATAATTTCTCTATAACCAAAATATTTGCAAGAACATATTTCCTAAGTAGTTTATACAATCTGTTGCCAAAATATACACACTATTATCACATAAAAACAATTATTCTCGCATTTTTACAAGATTTTTTTTATTTAAACAAATTATATGAAGTCTTTCATATAATTTGTTTAAATAAAGTTGATGATGATTAAGGTTAGCAACTTCGATCACGTGCGGGGCCATCATAACCTGTCTAGAACTGATCACTTTTCAAATATTAATAGTAGATTAGTATTAAGTAGTAGTTGTTGAGCAACCTCTTCTTTTATATGGTTTTCGTTTTAATGTTCGTTATAGTATAGTATTTGATTTATTTAACTACAAAGGTTATCTTACGTAAGGATTTATTACACAGAGTGACCGATCTAACATTGTAAAAATTCTTTTTCTACTGTACACAATTTAAAAAAATTTTAAAACGTGTTCGATTGTGATAAACCCTTACGTAAGACAATTTTTGTGGTTATATATAAATCAAATATTATAATGTAATATAATAGAAGGGTTAAAAGTACAAAATATCTGTTAGATTATTTCGTACTTCTAATCTTAATCTTTGGTGTTGTTATTTTTTGCCACAGCAACGCCGGGCTCATCTGCTAGTAATTAATATAAAATGGCAAAAAGCTTAATTTTGAAAGTACCACGCACAATTTTATTTATTGCGATTAACAATGTAAAAGTCAGTTTTAAAATAAAATCTCATAACAGCCAGGAAAGTTACGCAACTCGTTGCTAATTTTTTAAATTTTTAGTTATTGATTTACCTAAAAAACATTACTTTCTATTTAGATAAAAAAGCTTTCAATCTTAAATTTCGTATTTTTGATAATAAATATCATTTTCCATTTTTTCGAAACAAATTAATAAAAATATGATTTACTGAAGAAAAATTACAATTTATAATTCCGATTGGATAGTTGAAGTACAGTAGCAACTTGTTATTCCTGTTGTCTTCCTGCCCAATTGTTAATCCAATTCGCAATGTCCTTGGCAAATTCATTATGATCTTGAAGATTCTCAGTGCCCACACGTGTAGTGAATTTAATTAATATGTGCATATATTATTGGAAATTGTTGTGGAATATAAAACAGTTTAATCGAAAGAAACATTATACAGATTAGTTTTAATTTACATTTTTATTGATCATCAAAATAAGGAGAAAATTAACCACGCCGTATTTTGCTTCATCTGAAATATATAAAACATTGATTAGATATTTTAGTAGTTTGTTTTAATAAGTACATACTAAAACTGAAAACTTATAAATGTGATCTATAAAGTCTATGAAGACTATAAATCAAAAAGTTCTGTAAATAGAAATTTATAATGTTTTCTATTCCCGGAAAAAAATATAGAAATAGCAAATTTAAATATTATGAGGCTTAAAAAAATTGAGATTCTTTCTTTCTTTTTTTTGAAGAGATTGTGAAGCTATCATTATTTGTTATATCAAATGAGTGCTTCCAGTTCTCGAGCTTCTGTGGTAAGCAAACAAGAAGATTTGCTAACTTGTTAGTAGGCGATGCTACACAAACCTTCCAGATGAACAGCTGCTTACGAAAATAAAGTTATCATTGCTGACTTTGCAAATTACTTGGTGTTTCCAGTTACTAAGCGCTTTGGTTACTTTTCTAGCGATAAATTTAGTTTAACAACTGGCTGACTTTACTTAATAACATGGTTGTCTGTAATCGATAGTTAAAAGCAATATTTGTAGGACTAATTTCGTGAAAGAATACAAATAAAGTCTTAGAACTGACACTAACATTAACTAATCATACTACCTGTATTAACTCTTAGTTTAAGCTGTTGATCAATAGCAATTTTTCACCTTCGATTCAAGTTAAACAACGTAAATAAGTTTTACAAAAAAAATAGTTAACTAGAACTAAGGAACCAACCTTATTATACTCTCAGGGTATTTAGTTAACTCTTACCGAAATGAAAACGGCCAGTAAGGCCGAAATGCAATTGGTTTACATACACTCATTACATACACTCTGTGGTGTCCCGCAAACTATAAAAACTATAAAAAAAGGGGGATACAAGCTGTAGAAAAGGGCATCGTACGTATATATATATATATATATGTGTGTGTGGGATATATATACAAGGGATATATATATATCCCACAACATATATATACATATGTATATCCTACATACTATCCACAACATATATACATATATATATATATCCTACATACTATTCACAACATATATATATATATATATATATATCCTACAAGGGATAGATATATATATATATTTATATATATATATCTATCCCTTGGGTAGATATATATATTTATATATATATATCTATCCAAGGGATATATATATATCCCACAACATATATATACATATATATATATCTTACATACTATTCACAACATATATACATATATATATTTATATACAGTCGACCCCCCTATAAGATAGAGATACGTTCCATTCTTTAGGAATCCGATTTCTTACGAATCCTTCCAATCACAACCCGACACGTATCAAGTTTACGGACTACGGCTGTTTGAAAGATTTTCTTCCATAAAATTAATCGATTCTAGACTAATCCGACTCAACATTTCCAAAATACGTATATATTTTTTGGGAATAATCCGTATAAACTACGCTATAAACAAAAAATTGTAGGATTACTTACCGAGTGTCACCATTCGACATTGCCATTGCTCAACATTGTTTTCGTCGCGGAACAGCTCAGCAAAGAGCGGCCGATTTCTAACAACTTATTTTTCTGTGAAAACTTCGTAGAACTTCGGAGACATCATTAATATAAATAATTTTAATCGCCGTTGAATAAGAAATGTTTCTTTCACAAGAAATGTATAAAATTACAGTACTGTATTAGACTTACGGTACCTAATTTACATACTGACAGACGATAGTTAGCGTAAAAATCTCCGTAGCGTGGCGCCACGCTAGACGGCGGAAATTATATATTTAATTATAACAAAGTTACAATAAGTTAATATATAATTATATATACAGTACCTAATTTATATATAATTAATATATAATTATATGTACAGTACCTAATTTATATATAATTTATATAATACTGTCCAGACGATAGAAATCTCTCCGTAGCGTGGCGCTACGGACGGCGGGAAAGTAGTTCGGCTGCCCGATGACGTTTGAGGTAATTATAGGGGGTTTTTACTGTTTTTTACGGATACCGGTCACAATTTTTTCGTAGTTTTATAGGAATCGTAATTATAGGGACCGTAATTATAGGGGGGGTCGACTGTATATATATCCCTTGTAGGATATATATCCTTATATATCCTTATATACATATATATATATATCCTTGTATATATCCTTGGATATGTATATACATATATATATATCTCTTGATTAACGCAGTTAATTAATCCAACGATGCTACCACGTACATCAAAATCGCATCAATCAGATACAGTGGTATCTCAATACTTGACCGAACAATCACCACGCCTCTAGAACAAAGTTTCGGTTGATGACAAATATTTTTATTTTAATTTATTCATCAGTAAAACGTTTTCCATGATAAAAATGAGTAACTAATTTTAAATCAAAACGAAACCTCAGAGCTCCTTGGAGATTAAGAAAAAGGCAACCCTATGGACACGTGCCCCAAGTGGCCCAATATATGGGCACCTCTGTATATAATGATAGCAATCTAAAACAATAACAAGAAAACTCAAACTATGATAACTATCGTCAACATTACAATAAACTTTAGATGTACAATAATTACAAAATACAGTAAAACCCCGCTTAACGCGGGGGATACGTTCCTAGACGACAAAGCGTTAAATGAGGTCATTTTAACACAGAGTAAACACGGAAAGGGGTACACGCGACCAAAAATAAACAGAATTTACTTTCATTTTAAGTTATTTTTATACTAATTTGCATAATAATATATGTTAAATAACACACAAACATGCACATAGAAATGTAAAGTTCGCTTTTTGTGATGAGGGTCCTGGCTCTTCTGAAATTCTTGTTTTTTGCGATAAAGTCGTGTAGTTTCATTTGTCTTTTTTTTTCTTTCCTTAAGCAAATGTCGGTAACAGAAGATCGCAACCAAAATGCCTCGTCTTGCTTTTGCACTCCTTTCAAAATCTAGATCATTCGCTACAATTTGATCAACGATTTCAGTTATTGCTACCAAACTTTTACTAAGGAAATCTGTAGAGAAATTATTTGGGTTCCTCGTTTTCAGAATCACTATTTTCCAGTTCTACACAAATTCCTTGTTCTGCCAGTTCTTGAAGGTCGTCGTTGGTAAGGCTCTCACCAGAAATCTGCGGTAACTCCTCAATATCCTGCTGGTCTACATCTAGTCCCGCTGTATCGATTAGGTTTACAATTTGGTCAATCTAACGAAGTAGCGATAGGCTATTCTCGTTGAGAATTCTTGGATACTTCAGCCATAACTTCCACACTTTGTTCATGCATTTATCAGTTAATTCGTACCAAGCCAAGTCGATATTTCCTATGACATCCACGATGTTATACAGTATTTTTTTCCAAAATTGCACAAAACAAACCAAGATTTAAGGAAAGTACGGCGCTGTGACGGTTTTGCTGATTGATTATTTCTAAACACAAACCATTAAAATGCCGCGAAAATTTGAATCAGAGTAAATTTTGAGCTTTTTTATAGGCTTCGAGCAGACCACGTTATATCGAATAAGCGTTAATCGAGGCAGCGTTAAGCGGGTCGTACTGTACTTTATAATTATTGTAACCGGAAATAGTCAGTGGTTCGTGCCTTCGTTGTTTCAGCTGAATTAAACACGAGCTACCATGGGCTAGTTGTGCCCTGGAATAAGTTAAAATTGTATAAAATGTGTTAGGATACATCGACGATTTGTCACGACTTTCGATATTGATTATTGGGTTTTGATGGCCATTTTGTTAAGTAAAGACGACCATTCAGTTGACAAGCGAAACCATGATGAAACTTAGCTCAATTCAAGTTAGCAAATTTCTTGCTGACTGGAAGTACTGTATCTATATTCTTTGTATTACGGTACAAGAATTTTTTATGAATATTTAAACATGCAATAATAGAAGAAATTAGTGAACATTAACATATTATTATTATAATTAATTAAAATAAATTTAATAAAAGATATTAATAAACGATGCATACATTTCCTCCTTCAGTATTTTGTTCTTGTCTTCCTTACTGTAATTAAAGTAATAATTTTTTTTTATAAAAGAATCGTTATATATTCAATTATTTAAACTAATTTTAAAATATTTCCTATTATAAAACAATTAAAATTAAATAAATCAAAGTTCTTTTTCCTAATCCCAGTAAATTTAAATTTTATATGAAAGATATAACCATTTAATAGGTAACTAATAACAAGTAATTATTAAGGATCATAATACATTCAGTATTCTTATTTTTTAAATAAAGTTTCGGTTGTTTGTGCCGTTTCATAAATCGTATTATAATTATACTGGGAGTTCGTAATTAAAACACCATATTCAACGCTGTCCAAGATATTTAGCAGTCCAAGTGCAACCAAATTTGCACTTGGACTGCTAAATATCTATAAATAACCAAATTTTAGGACATTCAGAAGGCATTTCCGTAAGAATAAATTGCAGTAGTACCAAAACTCGTCACTACGGTGCTTTAGACATGACAAGCAAGAAAGGGTGTGTTTGTTAATATCGGTCGCTCTGCGTCTCCGCTTCTACGGAGTGCGCTGTTATTTGTGGGCATTTAGAAACGGTGAAAAAAAGAAAGATGGAGACGCCCGTACTATAGATGTATCGTGATAGAAAGACCTACGATTTTAAAACATCCGTTTTTACAGGCAAAAGAAGGGTCTCAATTGTAAAATTTAACTGTAAAATGGATTATCTTGCCAACAGAGCATTCAAAGTAGCCACGAAAAAAATTAGAATGCCGGCGAACATTCGAAAAAAATTTGATAAGACACATCACTGCGTGTACTAACTTGCGCTTTCACAACTTCTAAATTTTCATTCATTTTCAACAGTTTCGTTTCGGAGTCCATGGGTAATCACACATGGACTCCGAAACGAAACTGTCTGAGTCATGGACGACGCCATGTTGCTATCGCTAGTAAACTATTACTACTACCAGCGGCTATTTTTGTCGTCCAACGGTGCATACCCCGGATAGAATATAGGAACGCGTTTCGAATGTTGCTCGCGCGGAATTACGCAGAGGAATAAAAGAACGCACCTAACGACCTCGACCTCCACCTCCACCTCCACCGCCACGACTTTGACCTCCACCGCCACGACTTTGACCTCCACCGCCGCTACCTTGACCTCCACCGCCGCTACCTTGACCTCCACCGCCTTTTCCTCCACCGCCTTTTCCTCCACCTCCACCTCCACCTCCACCTCCACCTTTTCCTTCCGCTACTTGAGTAACTGAAATAATTAATAATATTAGTCTTAAGTATAATTTTATATATTGTAGCGAATCAATTATAACATCTTGAAATCCTTATTTTATAAACAGCAATATAAAGTCCGATTTAAAAAATCAATTCAATTCCTTCATTTAAATCAATATCTTTATAATCCAAAGAAAAGATAATTCTAAAATAAGTAAGATAAAGTACTTACCCAAGACCTCAATCAACAGAATCAAATACAGGCAAAGTACGAATTTCTTCATGTTGAACGAAGATAGCTTCTGATTCTTCACCGATTGAAATATTTATACGCTTCAGAATTTTATAAATCCACGTTCCTCTATTTGTTTTATTTACGAAAATCTCATTTATTGGAGCTTCGCGATTAAATTATTTCATTCTGTAAACAAATTCATCCATAGATTTAACCAATGAGAGAATTTATTTGTTCAGCTGTCCGTGGGAATAACTGAATACTAATTATGGATTCTGTACGTTTTAATACAGCCGGAATCCATAGAAAACGAATAAATTAATTAATATATTAATAATTCTTTACAAATGCGATAAAAGTAGTTCAAAATTATCTGCATATGTTTATATAATGAAATCTGTCTAAAGCGAACCTTCTATAAAACAAAAACCTGCCTAAACAGAAAATAAATCTCTGAACGAAAGGATTTCCGGTGTAAAATACTATTATAAATCGGAAACCTGTCTAATGTGAAAACGGAAGACTTTTTGGAAACCAATATCATAACTCCAGTAAAGCGGAATGCTTCGGCGTAACAGCAAATAAATTATAAATCATAAAAATTCATATTACTGTTTGTGACAATTAATTTAATTTAATTATAAATTAAATTAATTAATTAAAATTTCAGCCTGGCATTGTGACAATGTCACAAACAGTAATATAAATTTTTATGATTTACAATTATACGCTCTCCGTATGAAATTAGTAGTCTTGTCCATGCCCCTGTATAACCACTTTTGCTTTTAGAAACAGAGTCATGTGAATCATGTATATAAGTCCTTTTCATGGAAAAATTTTTGAATTGAATAAACGTAACTTTCGGTTTTCATCAGAAGTTTTTATATAGTTAATTAGGGCCTCCTGCGCATAGTCTTTGTATATCTAGTCTTGAATTTCATCTATCTAACTCCGTACTGGAGATTAAGGACACTCTGCCGGACGACAGCGGGAATTCATAGGTCTAGTTTTTCAAATTCCAGTCAAATTATTTCCTGCCTAGAAAACGTGTATTTTTTATCACAAATATATCACTCTTTACCACTGCTGCATTTTAAAGTTTTGCAGCTATAGATAAAATTTTCGCATCGCATCGGAGTATAACTTATTATTTTTAATTAATTTAACAAAACTCCATTTATTTACTACGTCGACTGGTCGGATATCGCAATCAAATAAAAAAGTCTTTGAAAAAGCAGGTCCGAACAGCAGTTATAGTATGTAGGTCATGCAACAAGCTCTCTAGAAGTGTGCGTGACGAAGTTTCTGTAGTTTACACGTGTACAACTGCCACACGCCATCACGACAGGATGTTTATGTTTAGTCGCACGAGTTTGCTCTGTTCTTTATAGAAAGTTTCTGAGTAGTTTATTCGATTGATGAACGTTAAATATTTTATTTAAATTTAGAATTTCGGAGAGCATAAAGATACCGTATCAAAACCCTATTCGAATTAACTAGTTTGATTTAACGTGTAATTCCCTATGATCGAGGAAAGAAAATGACTTCGCTGTGTAATTATTAGTCTTCTACAAAGTTTTGATCCTCTTCTATTAATAGCCGAGATGGCGAGAGGTTTAGTTAGCAGTCTGCCGCTCAGGGGAGAGGGATCGATTACGGCTGGCCGAAGAACTCCTGAGAATTTTCCGAGGACGGTCCATCCTGATATGTCGGATTCCGTCCCCAGCACATGGCTGCTCCATCATGTACCCGATCGAATCTAAAATAGATTGACCCTTCTTAGTGTCCACAGAGCAGAGTAAAAAAGTTTATAACATTCGAGTTTTTATTCAGGAAAAAACAAGATTCGTAATATAATTTAATGACAGAAAAAAAATTTATCTACGAATATTATCACTTTCATAGAATAATTTGTAATTATTATTAATACCATTGAAAAATATATTCATTCTTAGCATATGAAATTCCAATGTCAAGTTAATTGTTCATAAACAGTTCTATTTTCAGACTATTATTACTCCAATGTTGAAAATACAGTCAAACCTCTAAACAATGGCCATTGGTGGAATCAAAAATATCAGACGATGTCTTTACAATTTAAAAAATATACAGAAGAAACTAAATCGTCTTCAACTCCGTCCTATCCAATCACCGGAAACAAAACAGTCTTTCTTCTCAGAAATGACCTTTATTGGAGGCTTTTCCTCTGAAATTACATATTTTTTTGATTATCGATTTATTAGTGAACATTTTATCTATTCGGAGATAACCGTCATTGAAAGTCTCACAAAATCATTTTATAAATATTTGTATGAATCCTTTACTAATAAAATTGAACAATTAAAATTAATATTCGTACAGGAAATAATTAGAAAATTCACTGTTTATTCTACAGAAGCTCATATTTTAATCCAGCTGTGTCAATTCTATTATGTAAATATAGATTTCTTATTTAGCTTTTGTGTTCGTAATTCTGAAGGCATTTCCGTAAGAATAAATTGCAGTAGTACCAAAACTCGTCACTACGGTGCTTTAGACATGACAAGCAAGAAAGGGTGTGTTTGTTAATATCGGTCGCTCTGCGTCTCCGCTTCTACGGAGTGCGCTGTTATTTGTGGGCATTTAGAAACGGTGAAAAAAAGAAAGATGGAGACGCCCGTACTATAGATGTATCGTGATAGAAAGACCTACGATTTTAAAACATCAGTTTTTACAGGCAAAAGAAGGGTCTCAATTGTAAAATTTAACTGTAAAATGGATTATCTTGCCAACAGAGCATTCAAAGTAGCCACGAAAAAAATTAGAATGCCGGCGAACATTCGAAAAAAATTTGATAAGACACATCACTGCGTGTACTAACTTGCGCTTTCACAACTTCTAAATTTTCATTCATTTTCAACAGTTTCGTTTCGGAGTCCATGGGTAATCACACATGGACTCCGAAACGAAACTGTCTGAGTCATGGACGACGCCATGTTGCTATCGCTAGTAAACTATTACTACTACCAGCGGCTATTTTTGTCGTCCAACGGTGCATACCCCGGATAGAATATAGGAACGCGTTTCGAATGTTGCTCGCGCGGAATTACGCAGAGGAATAAAAGAACGCACCTAACGACCTCGACCTCCACCTCCACCGCCACGACTTTGACCTCCACCGCCACGACTTTGACCTCCACCGCCGCTACCTTGACCTCCACCGCCGCTACCTTGACCTCCACCGCCTTTTCCTCCACCGCCTTTTCCTCCACCTCCACCTCCACCTCCACCTCCACCTTTTCCTTCCGCTACTTGAGTAACTGAAATAATTAATAATATTAGTCTTAAGTATAATTTTATATATTGTAGCGAATCAATTATAACATCTTGAAATCCTTATTTTATAAACAGCAATATAAAGTCCGATTTAAAAAATCAATTCAATTCCTTCATTTAAATCAATATCTTTATAATCCAAAGAAAAGATAATTCTAAAATAAGTAAGATAAAGTACTTACCCAAGACCTCAATCAACAGAATCAAATACAGGCAAAGTAAGAATTTCTTCATGTTGAACGAAGATAGCTTCTGATTCTTCACCGATTGAAATATTTATACGCTTCAGAATTTTATAAATCCACGTTCCTCTATTTGTTTTATTTACGAAAATCTCATTTATTGGAGCTTCGCGATTAAATTATTTCATTCTGTAAACAAATTCATCCATAGATTTAACCAATGAGAGAATTTATTTGTTCAGCTGTCCGTGGGAATAACTGAATACTAATTATGGATTCTGTACGTTTTAATACAGCCGGAATCCATAGAAAACGAATAAATTAATTAATATATTAATAATTCTTTACAAATGCGATAAAAGTAGTTCAAAATTATCTGCATATGTTTATATAATGAAATCTGTCTAAAGCGAACCTTCTATAAAACAAAAACCTGCCTAAACAGAAAATAAATCTCTGAACGAAAGGATTTCCGGTGTAAAATACTATTATAAATCAGAAACCTGTCTAATATGGAAACGGAAGAATTTTTTGAAATCATCTACATAACTCGAGTAAAGCGACATGCTTTCGCGTAACAGCAAGTAAATTATAAATCATAAAAATCCATGTTGCTGTTTATGTCATCATCACAATGTCGGGTTGCGATTTTAATCATATTTTTAATTTATTTAATTTAAATTATATACTCTCAGCTAGTATCTAACCATTCC